TACAGCAAGAGACAGGTCACTGGAGTTGGGGATTCACTTGCTAGGAGTTGAGGGCTACATACGACGTAGAGGAGAAGAGAGGGGAGTACTGGTGGGCAGTCTTAGTCACTATTTGCTCTTAACAGGCAAAGACCATGGCCTCCTGCCATTTTTCTCCACAACATACAACGCAGATATCAAGGCTTCAACAAAAAACGTGTTAGACCAACCCGTTTTTACCTCGACAAACAACGTGGCAGTGTCCCTGGCAGATACAACAGTAAACCTCAGTGGATTTCTGACCTGTACCTGGTTTGCTGACCATCTTACAACCTTTTGAGGATTTTAACTATGTAGAAAATATTTGGGTATAATAAGGTATAATTGGCTAAATTGTGTGAGTCTAATGTCAGCAAAATAGCTAACAAATTCTTACATTATTTCCTCTATTTTCTGCCTCAAATATTGTTTTAGCTTAAAGGTATTATCAGTTTCTAGAAAACATTCACCAGTCTCGGACTTGATGCTGACAGGACATGGGGCTTCACGATTTCACAGAGGTTATTTTCCAAAAGAAATTATTTCTATTATTGGAGAAAAGGGTAACTTTGACAACGATTGCATTTTAAAGATGAAAAGTGAGAATTAAGGTCAACCTTACGTTTGAAGTCACATTAGATTTAATTTAGCTTTAACTTCTCTGTGAATAGTAAGCAACATCTGAAGTACACGGGTGCCTTTTTTTTTTTTTAAAGTATGTGTTGATTTTTTTTTAATCTTGAGTATGAAACCGGCCAAGAAAGGTCTCCCAGAGCGGCAGAGTAGTACACTACCCTAGATTCCTTTTTTTCAACTAGTGCTTCTATTCTGTGGACAGTAACAGTATTTAATTTGAAATTTCCTCTTTCTGTGCCCACACCAGTTTGAACTCCTTCCTGTGGAGTCTCTGAGTGTACAGCTTTCTGTGAGCCCTCTGAAAGCAGCCAGAGAGAGAAGGGGGAAAGATGTTTTTCTTTAGTATCAAGCACCTGGCAAGCAGAGAGCGTGTTCCTATAGAGCCTGGAAGGCATTCCTGCTCTCCCCTGAGAATCCAAACGGACTCGTTTTGATTTCCCTTTGAAAAGCCATGAAGCCAGAGCATGTTTGCTTTGATTTGGTTTACCAGACTGCTCCATGTTGTTTCTTGTTGCTTGTTTCTGTTCAACAGCAAGTCGGGGTGACGGCCCCATGACCCACTCGCAGTTGGCAAGGGAGAGGGACTTCATCACCGTGACTTGAGGCTCCGGGTGGGATGGGAACAACCTCTAGTGCTGAGGACCTCACAGAAATCAGGTACCTCGCTCAGCAGCTTGGCAACACAGACACCAAGAGGAAATTACGAGAAAAGAACATTTCACCACCACTCCTTCTCCGCTTCTTGCTATTTGCACATCCCTGAGCGACACTGCCCAAATGGAACCCAGGAAGAAAACATGGTATCAGCTGCTTAAAAAAGACAGGATAGAGGGGGCGCCCAGGTGGCTCAGTTGGTTGGGTGTCAGATTCCGGCTTAGGTCATGATCTCACGGTTCCTGAGTTCAAGCCCCACATTGGGTTCGCTGCTGTCGGCACAAAGCCCGCTTCAGATCCTCTGTTCCCCTTGCTATACCGCTCTCCTGCCTGTGCTCTCTCAAAAACGAATAAAACATTAAAAAAAAAAAAAAAGACAGGATAGAGGCACCTGGGTGGCTCAATGAGTTAAGCCTCTAACTCTTGATTTCAGGCTCAGGTCATGATCTCACAGTCATAAGGTCAAGCCTGCATCGGACGCCCCCTGGGTCCGTAGCCCGCTGGATTCTCTTTCCCTCATCCTCTGCCCCTCCCCTGCCTGCTCACGCCCACAAACCTACACGTGTTCTCTCATAAACAAACAAATAAATAAGGCAGGACACCAAAACACAGGGTGAAAAAATAAACAGATAAACTGGACTTCATCAAAACTGAAATCTTTTGGGGCGCCTGGGTGGCTCATTCGATTAAGCATCCAACTTTGGCTCAGGTCATGATCTCATGGTTTGTGGGTTCGAGCCCCATGTTGGGCTCTGTGCTGACAGCTCAGAGCCTGGAGCCTGTTTCAGATTCTATGTCTCCCCCTCTCTCTGACCCTCCCCTGCTCCATGCTGTCTCTCTCTCAGAGATAAATAAAAACATTAAAACATTTTTTTAAATTAAAAAAAAAAATTGAAATCTTTTGTGCTGCCAACAATACCTTCCAGAAAATGAAAACACAACCAACAGGAGAAAATACCTGTAATCCCAATTTCTGATAAGATAGTTGTATACGGTGTACATAAAGCACCCTTACAATTCATTAATAAAAAGACAATCCAATTTAAAAATGGACTTGAACAGACGCTTCTCCAAAGAATGTATACCAACGGCCAACACACACACACAAGGTTGCCCAGCATTATTAACCGTCAGGGAAATGCAAAGTGAAACTATGAGAGACCACTTTACACTCTCTAGGCTAAACAACACAAAAGACACGTATTAACAAGTGGATGGATGTGGGCAATCTGGCACATTCACAAACTGCTGGTAAGAATATAAAAGTGTGTAGCCACTTTGGAAACGAGCCTGATGGCTCGTCGAGAGATTCAACACAGACGTACCAGCTGACCCAGCATTTCTACTCTGTGGTACGTGCTCAGGGCAAATGACAACAGATGTCCATACAAAAGTTATACATGAATCCGCACAGCAACACTACTCATAATGATTGAAAAGTACAAACAATCCAAATGCTAATCAACATGGATGACTAACAGTGGTATATTCATGCAATGGAATATTATTCAGCTATGAAACGGGATGATGCACTGATATATTCTACAACGTGGCCAAACCTTGAAAATGTTAGGTTAAGCGCAAGAAATCAGAAAAAGACCACATCTCACGTAATCATATTCATACGAAATGTCCCAAACAGGCAAATCTGTATAGATGAGAAAGCAGATTCGTGGTTGTTTAGTACTGAGGGAGGTTGGGGGCAGGTGAAGAGGATGGGGACTGACTAATAAGAGAAAAAAGGGTTTCCTTTGGGGGTGATTAAAAACAGTCTGACATTGGTTGTGGGGACGGTTACAAAACATGAGTATACCAAAAGACACTGAACTATATACTTTAAAGGTGAATTGTATAAGATACAAACTGTATCTCAATAAAATTGTTTAAAAAGAGAGAGAGAGAAAGAAAGGGAGACCATCATAAAACTAGGAAGCCTGGCCATTCACGGCCAGATGCTCTAGTCATTCCTCACTATTCTGGGTCCCTCTTCCTGCGCCAGGCTAAGTCTGGAGGCTTACAGGGAACATGGAGTTCTTATTCATTGTTGTAAACACAGCTGAATTTGTTCCTCACCCTGGGGTCCTTGAACATCCTACAGCCACAGCACAACAGCTACAGTCTTTTCCTCCACCAAGGGTCCACCAGCCTCCACCCAGCTCTCCTTGGCCTTTGATGGCATTTTCCAAATTACGAAAAGGGTTGAAGAGAGAAGGATAAAATGATAGAGAACTATCATCATCTGAAGACAGTCCAGGGTTCTGAGTATTCATGGGAAAATGGCAACCAATTTTTTGTCTCATGTAAGAATCACCAGGAGAGAGGAACAAGGTTGAGAGACAAGGGAGAGACTTTCCTGTAGCTTTCCCCCAGAGTTGCTGGCCGTCCCAAACAGGCAGTGTTATGAGAGGTGTGGTGGAGGACGCACTAGGGCCTTCTGGTAAGGTGGGCACGGCAAGAGCATCTTGTCACTGGGACAGCCATCATTCTAAACGGATGACGCTCGAACCCATAAGAGGCATTCTTGAAGGATCAACACACTGAGGAATTTAAAAGCATCCTGATCATTGATTTCTGAGAAAATACCCAAGGAAACAATGTATAAAAAATGTGTAACCAAAAAATATAAGAGCAAGCACAAATGAGATTATTAATCCAATGATATGGATGGTGCACTGAACCATGTACCAGGTACTGCCCGAGTACGGTATTTTCAAAGATGGAAAGCTCTCCTTGCAGCCCTCAAGTTGTGTGCTGCACAATCAAGGTGGTGCTGCTCATCTTTCCAGTATTTTCTTTATAATCCCGACCCTCCAATCTCTATCAGAATTGAACCTCTCACAGCCAGTAGCCAACGGAATGTAGCAATGCCCACCCTCAAAAACCTTCCCAGATTTCATGAAAAACAACAACAACAACAACAACAATGTCCTTCACCTGAATACTAATACAGCACTGTATATTAACTAACTGGAATGAAAATGAAAACTTAAGGCAACAATAACAACAATAAAGTCATCTGGTTAGATACTAACACAAAAGTTGGTACAGCGTGGACCCGACTGAAGCTCCTTACTGACTGAAAAGAAATACTACTGTGTATCAGAAAAGAGGCATCAAAATCCCTCAAGTCTTGGAAATTGAGCTCAGACATCCAGAACCCAGGAACCAAGTACCCAGGGCCCTTCTCACCCCCCACACCTGCTCGTGGCAGACTCATTCCAGTGACTCTCCCAGGGCAAATAAGACCGCAGGCCCTGGTCCTTCTTTCATCTTGTCGGAAGACAGTAAACAAAACTGTAAAAACCACTAATTACCTTCCCTGAAATCTGCAAATAGTCATTTAAATTAGTACTTTTCTTTTGCTTTTTTAAATCAAGTTTTTATTTATTGAGAGAGAGAGAGAGAGAGAGAGAGAGAGAGAATCTCAAGCAGACTCCACACCATCAACACAGAGCCCAACTCAGGCTCAAACCCACCAACTACGAGGTCATGACCTGAGTGGAAATCAAGAGTTGGATGCTTAAGTGCCTGAGCCACCCAGGTACCTCTATTTTGCTTGTTTTTTAAAAAGAAAGCTTACCCCTAGAATTTCCACGCCTTGGTTTTGTTTTTTTGTTTTTGTTTTTGTTTAATAAAAGCACGGGTTACAGTCACACTGGAATGTGAACCAGGCACAGCCTGCATCTGCCTACCTGCAGCATATGACCGCCTTACACGAAAGCGCCAAATCCAGGAAGCTTCTCCTGACTTCAAAGGAGAGCGCGTACTTCAGGGTGTGGCCATCGATGATGAGGGCCACATCGTTCTCCTTGCCCAACAGATTCCCGAGGTCAGTGCAATGCTGCGTGATGGCAGCCCGTGTTGCCTGGAACGAGAGTGGGAGGGGGGTTATGTGCTTCATACTTCAAATTGTAGGTGTTTAGTTTATCAAAAACAGAGCTTATGAAAAATATCAAAAGTTACTTAAAGTGGAAACATACCCATTCTAATGTAATACATAATAGAGTTTGATTTGGTGTGTGTGTGTATTGTGTGCGTGTGCACACACAATTCACTGAACTGCCTGCTAGGTCTGTTTAATGGATGGGCATATCCCCTTTAACGATATTACATTTGATATTTACAATAACCTGCCTTAGTGACAGTCTAGAACTAGATGACCCAGAGCATCCAAATTCTTCTCCATTGGAATTGGAATTACTAAGGCTCTGAGGACTGTTTTTCTCCCCACTCCTTTATACTACATATGTATTTTTCTTGGTGCCTCTAGAACAGGAAACTCCATATAAACAAATGCGTGGTGTTTTTTCCCCCAAAAGATAAAGGTGCTAAAACTTAAATGCCAACCATTTTTCAGTCTGCACAAGATAATCTTTAAAGCCTCCAAAAGGTATTAGGAGATATAAAATCAACACAAAAGATTAATTTCTATGCTCTGCTGAGATCTTCAGATTAAACCATTTCTCCCCACGGGTCATCGGAAGAAAAAAAAAAAAAACAGATCATTTTTTCATGTTCCAGAAAATATCTAGTCAAATTAAACATTTTAAAATAGCCTGTTTTAAGACACTAGTACTGGTCTAAATAAGTGTCTTGCTGTGGTGTCTCTTCTCAGACAGAATTAAAGCACAGAATCATTCTTTGGATTAAAAAAAAAAAAAAGTAAGTCTTACTTCCCAGTTAATTTATAACTACAAATAGGGTATCTGGTTCAAATAGAAGAATAAAATTTCTGGCTCATAAAAAATACAATTTAAATTAACCAGGAAAACACAAAATTCTGCTGAAATTATTCTCTGGATGCCTCTCCTTTGGCTATTAAGCTACATTTACGTATAATTTATCCACATGATAACATAAAAATTACCGTCTAAAAGAAATACGTCAAATGGACAGGAATCTTTCTACCACTAGTTAAACTAAGGATCCGCTACCATCACAAAGTGAAAAACAGATTCTATTGTCTTACTGCTCAGTTTCCATTCTCGACAAGAGACTTAGACAACACTTACCAGAAAGATGTATTTGAGGTACAACTATGGCCTTAGAGCCCCGTTCTGGGGTCAGATGGCCCAGGGGCTTGTTCCAGCCCTCCACATACTACCTCTGTGACATTGGGCAGGTTATTTATCCTCTTTAAACAACAATTCTCTGGTGTAAAATAGAGCTAAGAATACTTACCTCACTGCCCTTTTGTTATAAACAAATGAGCTAATCTGTGCAAGCTGCCTAATGGGCTTGGCAGAAAAGAAGCACTCACTGAGGCCCATTCTTCCTCTCTTTACTACTCTACATCTAGGGAAATACACAGTTGTGCCACTTCGGGCAGTGAGTAAGCACCATCACCGACGATGCCTTCCTGGTCAGTGTAGTAACTGACATAAGCATAATTGATGGAACAGCATCCTAAGAAGCCAAGTTGACTTTTTGTAAAAATAAAGGAAACTCTGTATTTTTTAAAACTCTTAATTAGCTGCATAAGTCTGCATCTACAACGCGACCTCTACCTTTACCTGATCTGTGCAAACAGCCTGCCCTTGAGAATCTGGTGGAAAGAAGAAAATCCCACCCACTCAGGGAAACCCCAGTGTGGCAGCCTGAGGTGCTCACGGGAAACTCAGACAAGTCTGGGCAATCCTGGAGAGGGTGCTGGCCAGGGGTCAATGCGTGGGGGGCAGAATACCCCCCCCCCCCGGGAACTATCTTCCTAAGAGGGATGAGGCAAGACGTGCAGAACTGGTCGGTGGACAACGTGCCAATACTGTCATGGAGGTGCAGGCTAGCCCAGCGTACCTGACCCTCGCTGCCACGCCAGCCCCATGGACTTACTGAGGAAGAGCCTGGAAAGTACAAATCCCTGAGATGAGGAGACCCCTGCCTGTGGCTTTGTTTTGAAGGGGGCACAGTACGGATCAAGATACGCAGCCGTAGTTAGACGATGGAGGGCACTTCCTCCACGTGGGGTTATTTCTGTCCTGCTCAGGAAGACAGACTGGACTCTCCTTCCTCAGCCTGAGGGTTGGCAGCTGACCGCCTGCGGGCGTGGGAGGCTCTGGGGCGTGCGCGTGCGCGCTGGGAGTGTGAATGGCAGAGCTATGGGTAACGAGGAAACATGCCCCTGACACGCGGTCTTCCCCTCGCCCCCACGGCAAATCACGGAGTTCTAGGGAAGGACCCAAAGGGGTTCTCAAGTTGAACCACAAAGACTGCCATGGCCTGAATGTCTGTACTCCCCACACGCATATGTTGTACTTGGAGGTGGGGCCTTAGGGAGGTAATTAGGTCCTGAGGGGGAAGCACTCACAATGAGACCGGCGTCCCTCGAGAAGGGGCTAGAGAGCTTTCCTTCTCTCCTTTTCTCTCTCCCTGCCCCACCCCGCTCTCCACGCTCCAGCCTCGGGAAGACACAGCTTGAGGCAGCCAGTCCACCAACCAGGAGAGCCCTTGTCAGACAATGGGTCTGCCGACACCTTGATCTTAGACTTCACAACAAGTGCCCTCCTTAATACCCATCACTGATTTAACCCGGCCCCCTGGCCCCCTGCGCTCCAGTAACCCCCAGTTTGTTCTCTCTGATTAAGAGCCTGTTTTCTGGTTGATCCTTCTTAGCCCTTTAAATTTTTTTATAGTTGATTTATTTTTGAGGCAGAGACAGAGGGTGAGTGGGGGAGGGGCAGAGAGACAGACACACAATCTGAAACAGGTTCCAGGCTCTGAGTTGTCAGCACAGAGCCCGACGTGGGGCTCGAACCCACAAACCATGGGATCATGACCTGAGCCGAATCAGGATGCTTAACCGACTGCGCCACCAGGTGCCCCTGACCCTTCTTCTTCCTTTTGCCCACCATGTCCTCGGCTCCTGACCTCCGCTCCTACCCAAATCGTCCTGTCGCCTCACTTCATCTGCACGTAATCACACCTTTGCCTTTGAGATCAAAAGCCTTCTCTCCCACGAAAACCTCTCCAGATCCATCCGCCCAACTCCACCCTCGGCCTGTCTCCAGCCTCCGCTTTGGTTTTAGTTCCTTGGCTTCCAATGCCCACTCAGCAACAATCTTTGATCAAACCCAGACTGGTGGGGTTGACTGCACATGTGTGGCAGAATATAGGTCCCTTCTGTGCAGTCCTCAAGCAAGCCAATCGAAGGTATTACTATCACAAACAGTTCCTTATTCTCAAATGGACTATGATTCAAAAGTCTATTTGTAAGTCAGTTATTGGGCACTTAGAATCTATTTTCCCAAAGGCACGATGTTACAAATTGTGGTTGGATCCCAGGGCCTGTTAATGCCTATTTAGCCTAGTCGCTAAAATTTATACTGCAGTCTCTTATTTTAATAAAAAACCAATTACTGCAAGTTACAATGGACTTAGCTGTTATGAGGGGCACAGGGAGTTGGGACTGGGAGTTTCATTCCCAGAAAGACACGGAACATTCCAAAAACCCTTCACGAGAATTTGCCTTTTAGGCATGAATATTAAACAATCTATTTCCAGTGTTTTGTACATGTTCTACAATTTTATTTTCCCTTATAATTAAAAACACGCACGGTTTATAGCCCCAAGGGAGCGAGTGCAGCTACAGGCTGTTCTGGTGGCCACACCCAACGCTGCCCTCTCCCTTGCCTGCGCTGTACTGGACGCCCCGCGTTTCTTACCAGTAAGCTCTGCACTTGCCTTCCCGTTTCCAGTTTTGTTTTTTTTTTTTTTTTTAAAGAAAATTATATCAACATCACAGCCAGTGCCACCCTTGATCTCAGGAAATGGTTGTCTGCTCCCAGATCAGAGGTTCACCTGAAGTACAGCTGAAGTTCGATCTGCTCAACTTATGCGCAGAAGAGGATCTGAAAGGTGGCCCTACTGTTTATCATTCTGGGTTTAATAACCCAGGGAAGAGGAGGATTTCTAGAATCTGGATGCATTTCTACCGATCTGCAGATAACAGAAATCTTTCCTCAAAATGAAACTGTTCCAGCCACGTTGAAATCTGTCGAGGCAGGTAACCCTCTCCCCCGCTTCCCCCCGAGCTTGGCAAGTGTCATGAGGAATTTCTTCATCGCTGAGGTGGCGGCAGCTGCCCCAGACCCGACTTTGATGTTCTGCAAATTCCAGCGGGCTCGGAGCTGACGATGCTGAAAGCCAGGATGGCTCAAGTTTCATGAGCAGCCATCCAGCCAAATCACACTATGCCTTCGAGAACAAACTCCCTTCTCCCGAATTAACCTTGGGCTAATGAGTAACTAACGGTAAGGCTCAGCCCCTAGACCGCGGGTTCAAAAGGGTTTTGCTGTGTTTCCACTCCAGCCATCTATGTTCCCTGTTCCTTGCCAGCGGTCAGGCGTGCCTTCTCTCGCCTACCATTCTTCCACCCGTTCCCATTGTCCAGACTCTCGGAGCAGCCGCAGCAGCATGCTCCTCACTCTTGCCACTTCTTTTTTAATTATCATTTTCACTTCCAATATTATCACACTTGTCTCCTGACAGCATTAGCACCCGCACTGCTTTTGCATTTATAAATCCCAAGGGACGTGAAAGTTTCTAAAACCTGAGACAAAGCACAAACCCAGCAAACCCATGGGAGGTAAAGAAAGAAAGTCAAGGCTAGAAACAAGATAGTTACTCATGGCCCCTGCTGGAAGCTGTTGGTGCCAGGAGGGCTGATACCTTTTTGCTCTGGATGTTGCGTCGTTCTGATCTATGAAGGGCTCTCAACTTGAGGTTCATTAAAAAGTAAGAGGAATCTGTTAACTGTGTAATGTTTCAAGGATTTCCTAGAATTCTGAGAATTTCAAGGAAGCTATGATGCTGTCTCACAGAGACTAAGCAAACTTTTTTTTTTTATTAATGTTTATTTTTGAGAGGGAG